CTCCCTCCCCGGCGCCTCCAGAGCCCTAAGACGGCCACCTGCCAGACAGGTGTGGGGGCCCCCAATCTCTGCCCCCCCAACCCTGCTGGGGATCCCCCGCAGGCCAGGAGGTAGGGGGACATCAGCTCCCCCATGGGCTCGGTCTGGGTGGAGGCCTCAGACCAGCCCCGGGTAGGCTTAGGCCCCTGGGCAGAGGTCCTAGCAGCACTCCTCGTCGACACCATTCTATAAGCTGCTGCTTGTAGATCTGTCTGGTGTCTACTCCCTACCCGTTCAGGAGTTTCTCTCCTGGCCCTTTCTGCCCGCCCACCGGCGCGAACGCCTGTGCAAATGCCGGTGCGCGCTCTCAGAGCCCACCCTGTTTGTGCACTCTGTTCGCGCTGCACGGCTCGGGAGCGTGGCTCCCTACCAGCTCAGCTATATGGGACCCGGGGGGCTTCCCCTCCGGATCTGGCTCAGCTGTGCCGGGTCCGTCCGCCCCACTTGCCTTCGGGGGATCAGCTATTGCTGCCCCCGCTGCCGATTCCGCTGCTGCTGCCACCTCCAGTCAGTCAGTTGGTAAAGGGGCACACGTGCGTGCGGGGGACACGTGTGCCTGGCTCCTCTCCTTCCCGCTGCTGGTTCCCGACCAACTTTTGTCATTTAGTTTACTGACAGGTTCCCTGCTAAACCAAGCTGGTATTCTGCCATACTTGCTAGTCTTCCCGCGCATCAGGATGGTTTGTTCCTGCACTCTCATTAAGGCTTCTTTGAAGTACAGCCAGCTCTCCTGGACTCTTCTCTCCCTCAGTCTGGCTTCCCAGGGGATCCTGCCCATGAGTTCCCCGACCGAGCTGAAGTCTGTTTTTCTGAAGTCAAGGGTCCTTCCTCTGTTGCTCTCCATCCTTCCTTTCTTCAGGATCCTGAACTCAGTTATTTCATGGTCGCTGCTGCCCAAGTTGCCATCCACTAGTAAATTCCTCACCAATTCTTCCCTGTTTGAGCAGCAGGTCAAGAAGAGCATGGCCCCTAGTTGACTGCTCCAGCACTTGAACCAGGAAGTTGTCCCCAAAGCTCCCCCAAACCTTCCTGTATTGCCTGTGCACTGCTGTATTGTTCTTCTAGCAGATGTCAGGGTGATTGAAGCCCCCCATAAGAACCAGGGCTTGTGATTGGGAAACTTCCACTAGCTGTTTGAAGAATGCCTCATCCACCTCATTCTCCTGGTCTGGTGGCCTATAGCAGACCCCACCACAACATCACCCTTGTTGTGGTGTAGGTACCCCTACACCACAACAAGGTACCCCTCTAACCTTAACCCAGAAACACTCAACAGGCTTATCTCCAGTTTCATACTGGAGCTCTGAGCAATCATAAGGCTCTTTTACATAAAGTTCAACTCCTCATCTTCTTCCTTGCCAGTCTTTTCTGAACAGTTTGTGGCCATCCATGACAGTGCTCCAGTCATGCGAGCTCCCACCAAGTCTCTGTTATTCTAGTCATGTCATAGTGCCATGACTATACAAGGACTTCCAATTTTTCCTGCTCATTTCTCAAGCTCTGTGCATCTGTGTACAGGCACCTGAGGTAACTAGTTGATTGCCCTGATTTCTCAGGAAGTATGAGAGCACCTCCCCTGTTGCCCACTCCTGCTTGCTCTTCCTTCAGGTCACCCACTTCCCCACTTACCTCAGGGCTTTGGTTTCCATCCTGTGGCAAACCTAGTTTATAACCCTTCTCACTAGGTTAGCAAGGCGGTCTGTGAAGATGCTCTTCCCTCTCTTTGTCAGGTGGATCCCATCTCTTCCTAGCAATCCTTATTTGAAGAACATCCCACAGTCGAAGAAGTCAAATCCCGGCTGGTAACACCACCTGCACAGCCAGGTATTGATCTGCAGGATGCACCTGCTCCTGCCTGGGCCCTTTTCCCTTGACCAGAAGGATTAAAGAGAACACGACCTGAGCCTCCATTCCCTTCACCTGGGTGCCCAGAGCCCCATGGTCACTTTTGATCCACTCAGGGTCTCCCCTGGCAATATTGTTGGTGCCCACATGGATGAGCAGCCCAGGGTATTAGTCAGAAGGCAGGATGAGTGAGTAATCCCTCCATGACATCCTGGATCCAGGCTTTGGGCAAGCAGCAGACTTCCCGAGACAACAGGTCAGGTCGACAGATGGCTCCCTTCGTCCCCCACAAAAGGGAGTCTGCAACCACCACCCAAGCAGGGGCAGGTGCATCCTTGGTTTCTTCTTGGTGATGGTTGTCTCGATCCTTTCCACCTTGGTGAGGTATGGCCTGTCCTCCTCCTCCAATAGAATGTGCTCCTTCCTCTCTGTTGCCAGGGATGCATATCTGTTCTTCAGACTAGAACAGTTTCAGTCCAGATCACAACAATTCACCCAGATTACAACAATTCTTTTAAGTAAAAGAAATCTCTTATTTGTTTAGTCCAGCTGTCTGAAACTTCAAATTAAAAAAAAAATAAAATAAAATATTTTGCAGCATAAATAATAGTGAAATATACTTGAAAGCAAATCAGGTGCAGTGATAAGACCAAAGATCAGCACTTGTCCCCTTGAAAAGAGAACAAAAATGGTTTTAGCTGGGGCAGATCATCAGCTTGGGGACTAAGGTAGCCTGGGGTCTCCATCTGGGCTGGAGCTGCCCCCCTCCCAATGCCAACAATCAGCTGATTGTCAGCATGGGCAGTATGATCTGGCATGAAGCAGCCCCAGGTGTCACATATTCATTTTGGGCTGGTTTTCAACATGCCTTAAGGATATCCTGTATTTGGAACAGGTTTGCTGCTAGTTTCCCATTTTATTGCACTATTAATTGGCTGAATGTATGGCAAGACATTTATTTATGCTCAGATTAACATGTTAATCATGCTATAAATGTAAGGACCTTACTCTGTTTTAAGAGTTTTATATATTGTATTTATTTGAATCTAAGCTGAGGTCTGCCCCCTTCCCCACCCCCAGTCAGCGTGGGTGGGAGGGAAGCCCCTAGTCCTAGCTTTGCATACAAAGTGGGAGGGGAGGAAGCAGGGAGCTGCTGCATCTCTGGCTCTGACCCTGAGCCTGGTTGGGGCTAGAATCACACCCACAGCACCCCATTCCCCCATCTCCAACACCCCCATTTGGTCTCTGCAGCTTCTGACCCCATTCTCCTCCCCTGCCCCCCACCTCCCCACTTCACTGTCAAGTGCAGCTTGGCGCCAGCTTATGCTGGATTCCCTCCTGGGCACAGACCACATGGAAACTCTGTCCCCTACTGTGTGGCCTGGCTCGTGCTACGCTCTGTGACCCAGGAGGGAATAGAGCCTGAGCAGCATCTGACAGTAAAGGGGAGGAGGCAAAGGTTTTGGGGATCAGGGGCAGAAGAGGCAGAGCCTGGGGGTGGGGAAGGAAGCAGAGACTGGGCAGCTGGGGGTGGGAGGGCAGAAAGTCTGTGAGGGAGTGAGTAGTTAGGGGCGGGGGCAGACACGTTTCCCTGCTGTAGTAGTGGGGATGGATGAACTTAAAACAGTTCTCTGGTAATTGGATTACATACCTGGAAAATTAGAACAAATTTATAAATTTTTCGTATACAGAATCTAATTATTGGGGGGGTCATCTGAGATTTGTGTAAATACAGTATAATCCTAGTAAAAGGGAACACTTCTCATATAAACATGCTTTCATTTCAATGCACATTTCTGATTTTAATGTAATTTAGAAGGCTTTTATAGCCTAATGCATGCATTGTTCCTGGAATGGCTAGATGTACCTGTTTTGTGTTTTGAATTCTCACTTTGTGAAAATGTGTAAGTGCTGTAAATGTAGAATTATCTGATCCTCAGTGCATATTGATGATCCAAACTAGAAAGGAAATTGCCAAACCCTGTTCTGAATTAAAAGAGTTATCCTCTTCTTTCTCCCAGTTTAGGAACTCGCTGTCTGAATCTTCTGGGATTCCAGCAGTTCATGGGAGACAGTGAAATGACTTCTGACCTAATTGATGAAGGAAAAGAATTAATCAGAAGAGGTAAGACTGTTATCTTGCTCTGCTTGCCAGAAGTGACAGGAGCACTGTAAGTGTCTAAAATGCAGTTGTATAGCAACATAGCTTATGGCTTTTCCATACTTTGCTCCAAAATCTTAAAATTGTTTATATAACAGGCTAGAACCTTACCTATAGTTATACTGCTTTTCAAATCTGTCTTGTAAGCAGCCTGAAGGGGAGACCTAAAGAAATCTTGGGTTATACAAGAACCAGTGTGTTTGTTTCATTGGTACTGAATTATTGCCCTCCCATAGTGGCCAGCTAGTATGCTTGTAGTATTACGATCTTTCACATGGGATAGTTACCATCTCTATCTTTCAATAAAAACTAAATTTTGCTTTTTCATAGGAGTAAGAAAAATAGCCTAGCTGTCCTCTCCTAATTTTTGACGCTCAAATAAATTTCTCCCTTAACTTTACTTGCAGTTTCAACTGAATATTGTACTTTTTATTTACTGATACTTGGAGCTATGTATCATTATTGAGTATTGCTCGGATAATTATTTCAAACCTGTTTTTTGTTAAGATGAAGTAATTGTTGTGTGGTATCCCTTGAGATCTTCAGTCTTAACTAAATCATAAAAGCAGAACTAATTCAGGTTATGTGAAACATGCTATGGCAATGTGTAGTAATTGTTTTCTAATAACTGAATCAGAGCATACGCTTCTGTGAGCAAGAGCTCACTTCATTAAATGGCATGAAGTGAGCTCTTGCTCATGAAGGATTATGTGTCTCTGATTCAGTTAATCTATAAGGTGTAGCTCTACCCTGCCTTCTGCCCAACTTCTTACTAATATGGCTAATAACCTATTTTTTTCATTAAATACATGATGTAAGGACTCTAGACATCTTAGGTGAAGTTGCTTGTTCTGAATGAAGTCTTCTTTGGAAGAAACATTTTCCTACTCTCTTGTTAAGCAGTTAACCATCATGGGTTTGCAGAAGACCCATTTTGAAAGGATACCAGATTGAAGTTGTATCTTTACATTTTACAAAGCTATCTAGTGGTATCTTCTATTTGGTTTGCTTTTAGGACTGCCACATCTTTGAGACTTATGTATTTTTTAGTTGCTTGTTTGTTTGCTAGCGTTGCAGTTTCTCTATCAGGGATCCTCAGTCTAAACTTCTAAATATTAGGAGTAATACTCCTTTTCCTGTCCAATCTCTTAATACTCAGAATCATGGTCCTTGTTTTCAAATATATTCTATATTATTATACTATTATATTATATACTATATAATACTATTAGTATTATATTATATACTATTATATACTATATTATTATAATATTATTATTATTTGATATGAGCTCCAACTAAGCTTATCGATAGTGGATAAACTGCTGATTTAAAACTTTGTCCCAGGAAAATTATTGAGCAATTATTACTGAAAAGTGTTCTGTTTTCCTTTAATCACTTTAGAAGTGTTAGTAGCATTTTATTCCAATTCCTTAAACATAAAATCTGTGTTGCTTTAATATTCGTATCACTGTTGATATTTATTGCTCTGTGGTTAAATAAAATGTTTTATTTTCTTTTTTCTAGAGAAAAGAAAACGGCAACGGCAAGAAGAAGGAGAAAACAGAAGAAGGGTATGAGATTTTTTTTTGAAAGTATTGTACTCTTTTTTTGTAATGTATTAGAAGTTTCCACTAGAACAGCTTTCTATAAGTAGGGAATAGGCAAGCTTTTTTTGGCAAATATTTTTTTTAATCAAAAACCATAGTTTGGGGATAACCAAACCCATGAATAAATTCAATCCAAATTTCCAGATTTAACTTTTGGTTTGTAAAAGACTTTACAGGACTAGATTATTAAAGAAGAACTGGTCATATAGTTGGTTTCTTTCTCCTTTTTAGGCAACTCAGCTAGGATATGGGAATTTCCCTCATCTGACTGATGGGTTTTAAACCTGCCTTAATTACCTTCCAAGAAATGCCCCAGCAATCATGGTAGAGCATGTTTTGGAGTGGTTTGCTCTTACCATTTTAAATGGATCCAATTTGTTTAAAAAAAAAAACAAACTAACAAAACCTTAAATGTTTATTAGTAGATGGATTTCAAGTATGAGGCACTTAAGTCATGCTTGCTGTTCTTCTCCACCCTCATTCCCCCTCTCCAGTGACTCAGTATTCAGTTCAGACATTTGTGCCAGGAGAGGAGTCTTTCTTACAGGACCAACAGCTGTACAGTCAAGACCTTTTATGGAAAATAACTGGCTCTTTACAGCCTGCCCCCTTCCCAGACATGGGCCCTTATGTGCTGCCTGGTTGGAGAGTTGGCCTATGGAGCTCCCCAGCCATGGAGCTGGAATGTATGGACACTCCAGCTCCTGGGCAATTCTTCTACCAGTAAGAATTTCTTACTGGTAGAAATATGAATGTCTGTCACTTGGTCCTCATCAATCTTCATGACTTGCTTTTTATTTATTTTCCTAAAGAAATTGATGGAATGTTTTGCAGCTTGTGTATGTCCTTGAATGCATAATGCAGTTTTACAAGGAGTCAAAGCTGCAGGACCAGGCAACAATATATAGATATAACATACTTGAGTGGGTGTTGCAGTGCATCTGGTTTATTGCAAGTCTGCATTGACTTAATTTTAAAGGTTATTTTCTACATGCATATCCTACACTTTACAGATACAAAAATAATTGGTCATAACCAATTTCATCCTTTCCAAGCTATTCTCAACAGTCCTGAGATTGTAATCGGCCACAAAAATCTTGTGTAACCTAGAACAGAAGATAGTGGTCATAAATTGGTATAATGACTTTGCTGGAGCTAGGCCAGTTGTTTTTCCACTGATAAATTGTGTGTTTTTCACAAGAATTCTTTCCCACAGATTCTAATGGGAATTTTATTTGGCTCAGAAAAGTAACAAGTGGCTCTGGCTTCCCTTATATCTAGGGAGTAGAAATTTGACTGTACATCACAATACATAGTGCCACAATGGAATGCACCAGTGTTACTGTATAGTTTACTATCAGCCATAATTTTAATATGCTAGCCTGAGCTGTGGATATAGTATCCTACCAGCAGATGGAGACCAACCAAAAGCTAATCTCTTTCCTCATCTCTGTAGCGTGTACAAGTGATGCTGTAACTGACAGTCCAGAAATTATGTGAGAGGCAGAGATTTCTTAAGGTGATATTTTTATTGTACCAACTGGGTACTTGGGCTAGAGTTATTCAAGCTTTTGAATGCAAGACATTCTTCATCAGGTCTGACCAGAACAAGCCAAGCACAGCATTATCAGCTATACCGTGGATACCAATCAAAGAAGTCCTTGCCTCATCTTTGTAGAGCGCAGTGGTTTAGTGCACTGTGACTGATTAGTCAATATGTAGTTAACATACACAATGGTTCTTACTTCAGAAAAAGACCACTTTTGAAGCACACTTTTAGTGAAACATTTTTCAAATCAAGAGTTTTATCTTGATTTAATATTTCTGATGCAGCAAGGCACAGAATCTCACACGATGAATGTGTAATATGTTTTTATAGTTATTGGTCCTAATATCTCACACTGGAAGGTGAATAACCGAAATGTATAGATCTAGAGAGTCGATTCATTCCAGGTAATGATTTAAGGTGACTATTTATGTGTGATAATTCATGTGGTTCAAATTAGTGTATTTTCTCTCTTTGTCAGGAATGGAAAGAACGATATGGAAATAGAGAAGATTCTACCAGAAACAGAAATGTTCACACAGATCAAAAAGAATCTAGTTTCTCAGAGCCCAGCACAAATAGACGTAAGTCATGTACATTTATAAACAAAAAACCCCAAAACGCCTTTCACTGGCACAGTACCACCTGGATAAATAACAGTTCGTTTGATGCTTGCTGTCTAGTTGCTATGGTGGATTAGACAAAGGGCCCTTCTGTTTACTATGGGAACAGTAGTAAGTCTTCAGGACATGGCAGTCTGACCCTCCTTTCTGGCCTGTGGGGGATGTTCTGAGACTTTTAGATTGTTCTTGGACTCTGGGATTTGTAGCCCTTGAACCTATATCAGCAGCTTCAACCTAAAAATGAAGGTTGTTGACTGTTCTGGGGATTTTGAAATATATAGAATTTAACGTTTTAAAACCTCTGGTCATCCTTGTTGCAAAGGTAGTCTTCCAAACAAGCTGTCACAGCAATTCAGTTTAATGCGTATTTAGCATGTCGAGTAAACAAACTAATGTATACATTTCTAGTTTTCATAATCTGTAGGAATCTAGTGTACGTTAAATCCTCTTGTTTGTTTCTTAGGTGAAAACAGTAAGATGTTGGTCAGACTCTTAAAGTAGGCAATATGTTTTTAACATTTGAATTTTTGTATGTTTTTCATATTTTCCCAATAGTTCTCAAAAGCAGGACATGAATGGTCTTGTACAGATGCACAAGTCTGGAAAATGCAACTGAACATCAGTTAACTGATACAACTGATTAGGCCTGAAATGTCCAATTAAGAAAGTATATTTCACCTATAATTTACTTGTGACTGTTCCATGGTACACATGTTAAAATAGAAGTGTTACAGGTTATATGTTGTATGACTGAATATCCAACATGATTTCAGTCTTACACAAACTGTATGGAGCCTTGCAAGTTATGACAAAAGCTACACCAGCAGCTTTGATTAAGACATGTATGATTAAATTGTATTGTTTTCATTCACTGGTACCTTTTCTTAACAAACAAACAAATAAATGATTGTTTTTGCATGCATAGACACCCATCCTTTGTTCAGAGGTACACGTTTTTTATTTGGTTTGTTTTTAAGAAACACTAGTTTCTAACATACTGTTTAGTTACTCTTCCTATTTTTCAAGGAGAATGTATTTTCCAATGGTGAGAGTTCCTGTTATAGTTCATCTCTTCATGGAAATAATCCCACTGAAAAGAGTCTGTGGTAAAATTTGGTGGAAATGGAGACTTGCCCTTTTTGAAAAATTTCAGGGGTTCTCAAGTAGTAGTTGGAAATCTGAGCATCCAGTTATGATTGGCATCAGAAATTGAATGTAGTCAAAATTAGGGGGTTTTCTTTGGGTGACATCAGGAGAAAAGCACAATTATGTTTGGTTTTAAATTATGTTTTATTCAGTAATTTTACAGATTTTACAAACAAATGTTGTTTTTTTGTTTTTTAAACATCCAGCACTGTCTAAATACACCAGGTCAAATGGCAAGACTGAGAGAGATAGAATAGAACTTCTCCAAGATGCAGAACCTTTGGATTTTAATGCAGATACTATTACTGATGATCCTCTTGAATCAGACTCAGGAAGGTAAGGAAATTTAATATCTTGTCTAAGGCACCTGCCACACATTGCATATATTATGCAGTTAGCTAGTTAATTGCACAATAAATTTAGACTGGCCACAAGTGCAAAGTAATTATCACACCATAAAATATCCATCCAACTATAAAAAGGGTCAACCGGCTATAAAGTTAGTGCTTGAAAATGTATAACAACTTTATAGCTGGTCTCTATCCAGCTTTAATTTGAATGTATGGCAGGGCCCTATGTAAAATATTTGTACTTTTCCAAAAATCTTTGCCCCATGCGGCCGTTCAGGTTCTTGGTTAGCATTTGTAGTTCTTAAGATCACTAGGGCAGTGTTTGAAATCTGAAACTTAATGCTGCTGGTTTCCCCCTCAATCTCCCAAATGTGTAATGGGTCTAATTAATTTATTTCAGTTAATAATTTTGACATGCATGTCTTCATACTGAGTTTACATCTGAGAAATATTTCCCATAGAGACAGGTGAAGGAGCCAAAGAGTGTGAAATCCTATAATATACACTGTCACTTGCACTTAATGATTGGTTAGTTCTTAGCTCTTTAGTAACGCTTCAAATTATTCCTCACCTACTACTCTTGTACTGAAGCAAAGAACAGTCATTAAGTGTTTCAGAAAATATAAGAAAAAGTAATATACTGTATCTATATATTTTTCTTTGCTTAGTCGCACTGAATTTATATGAGCCAACAGTTGCACTTTTGGTATGATCCTGCCACTATTGTGAAGTCAATGCAAAGTTCTCATTAATTTCATTAGGGTCAGGATTTCATGCATGATTTATATACCTGTACATTTGTATTACCTGTTTGCACTTCGGAGTCGAACAAAATTATATTATCATGTTGCTCTAAATACAGCAAGATTAAACAATTTGAGTTTCAGATAGCTAATTTCTATACATAGTATTCAGTGGTTTACTGGCATGTCAAATACTGTAATTAAAGTCTGTTTTATCCACTATATATAAGGTCTTTTAAATATAAAGTTGAGTCCTTCAAGGTAAAAAATTATCATCTAAAACTTGTTCTGTTGTGAAAAATATTTTCTATTTCAAGACAGAGGCAAAATAAACTTCTGTTTCCACCCCCCTCTCCTCCACAGGAGACCTGGGGGCTTTTTTTCCATCTCTGTGACTTTTTATACATAGTCTCTTAATGCTTGTCTTTCAGGTATCAGCCTGGTGGAAGGTATTTGTCAATGTCACGAAGTAGAATATTTGATGACGTCTAAATCCAACAGTGCTTCAGAAAACTTATTGGAAATATGTCTCTCATTCATTATTTGAAAAATACTGTAATTGTAACATATCTCTGAACCAAAAATGCCCTCTCCTTTCAAAAAATAAAAAAGGAAGAATGAAGGAACAAACAAACATTTTAAAATCCACCTTGACTAACTTTACCAGTCTACAATGAACAAGAATATGTTTCTCCTGTTAACAGGTATTACACATCTGTGTGCTAGGTTGTTTTTCTCCCCTGTCATGACTAGGATGACAGAAATCAATTTCCCTTAAGTGATAGAATAGACCACATTTTATATGTACAGATAGGGCTCAATTTACATTTTTATCTCAAATTTTACTGCTGATTTTTCCTTTCTTGAAATAAGGAATTGATAAGATACTCTGAGAGAAATCTAATGCATCCTAAGTGCAGTTATATCAATTACTGTAGTAAATACTAGCAGCTTTCTGTTAGAACTTTAAGCTTCATCCAAGGTCCACTGAAATCAATGAGAAGTCCGCTATTGACTTCAGTGTCCTTTGAATTAGGCCTTTTATGAGTACGAGAGATTGAACGGTAATTTTGTACAAAACACAGTGGCATAAGATGTGAAGGGGCTTGCACATCAGTCATAGAACTTAGACATTTTTTTTCCTCTTTCAACACTACCTGCAGATGGCATCGGCGTATGTAAATAATTCAGATTCAATATAGACAGGTACTTTCATTATCACTGTCATATAAGCATGTGTGCAATAGCAGGAAT